AATTATGACTATTGTAATCTTAATGAGCATGACTCTAGTTATGTGAATGGATATGCATGTGATTAAGTTGTATTATGTGATTAAGTTAATGCTCGGTATGCTAAAATGCATGAATAGATGGTTATGACATAAGATAGATATTGGACATGTATTTTTGACTTAATGGCATGCGCTTGACTACGAGATAAGTTAATTAAGTTTGCATTTATGACATGACATTAAATAACATGAGTATATTACATGATCATGAATGGGTGGGAGTTCACTTGAGACAGTAAGGTGATAAGGAAGCCTACATGGTACTACCAGCACTGTGAGGCATTGGTGTTTTAGTTCTTGACTATTACCCTTTATTAGGTATTGCCTTAAACTAGCAAAATGACACCCTATGAGTTCAGAATGGACGAACCATGGTTCGAGTGAGCATGGTGCCTTGGCTAAGTCACCCCTCACAATTAGAGAGTTAGTCTAATTTGATCACATGGGTTAGTCCTATATAATTAGTAGCCCCTGGATTCACTAAGAACATATAAGAAGAAAAATAAGGATGGATTGCATATGATCATGCATCATTGTCATACATTAACTTATATGCCATGTTTTTATTGATTAGTTGTTTTATGATGCATGTTGAATACTAATAGCATGTAAAATGTGAATATTTGCCTTATGTACTTGTATTTGCCACACTTTATTTGTACTTGAACTTATGTGCCTTAGTTACTAAGATTGTATAATCTCACTCCCAGTTGTTGACTTTTTATTAGGGGATGTCAAGGCCAAAGGAAATGGGGAAGCCTCTGAGGCCAAGGACTAGAATTTATTGTTTTAAAGTCTATAGTCTTCTTGTAGTGTCATTAAATGCATAATTTGCCAACTTAAGGATTGATTGTATCGTGATTTTAACATTTGCATGTAATCTTTATTGTTAAACTTGAGCATTTTAATGTAAGATCTTCATGTTTTTTGGGGAAGGCCTCTCTTGTAATGTGTTTCAATGATTATTAATATATGTATATGTGTGTGTATAATGTGATCTATGCATGAATGTAGTTTATGGAGGTAGAGTGTGAATAGCATTTGGCTCAGGAAGGGAGACACTTGAGTGGTACTTGTGGCATTGACAACTTACCTTCGTTGTAAGTGTTCTAGGATCCTTATTTAGTATTAGAATGGGATAAACCTAGAGCTATTAGATAGATCTCTTAATTATCTACGTGTAGACACTTGGATTACCTTAATTGGAGGTCTATAGTTGTGTGCGCATCATGGTGAATGGTCTTTTTGGTTATGGCTAACGCTATACATAAGTTGGCTGAGTGGATTTGTAGTTGACTATGGTGAGTGGCCTTTGTGCTGCGACGAACATGTCTATTTTGCTAAAATATCTATTTTACCCTTGTTTGAACTAGTTTTAAATTCTTAACTTGTTTCTATGTTTCCACAAACTTCTATATTCTAATTTTAAGTATTTTCAAATATTTATACATAATTAATCTTCTTTAAATAATTTTGAGATCCCATTGTTCCTAATACTTTTAAAGTTGAGAAATTTACCTTAGCCAAGGTTGATGATCCTTAGTTTTAGTGATTGGTTTAATTGAGTGAGTTTATAATTGGTTAATAACGGAGGTCATTATAAGAACAAAAATCAAACATGCACTTACATAAGCCAGCAAGATACTATTGCAATGATGATCAAAATAAGTTGGGACCTGTAATAGAGTAATACGATCTCAGTTTAAAGAAATGAGAATAATAAAATAGGAATCTAGAGAAAAGGGACAACAACAAAAAAATGCCCTTTCTTTAAGAATAAAATATATTATCCACAGAGGACACTTTAGAATAAATAATACAAGTTTCACATTACAAATACAGCAAGAAATTGGGGCGAACTATCAATAACAATATCAACTGTTGGTCAGTATTCAATAATAGCCCCACAAAAGGAATTATGTAATATTTAAATTTAATAAGGAGACTTACGAGTCAGATATCCTGCAGTCCACTTTGACTTCTCCTTTTTTGTCATAAAAAAGAAAATCATGAAAAGAAATAACATAGAAGACATATAGAAAAGCAAGTAGCCGAGATGAAGTGAGGCGAGAGAGAGAGAGGCGATCATACCGAAAGATGAACCTTCGAGACCAAAAAAAAAAGGTTCAATGCTTTCATCTAGGGATACTGGGTTCTTTCTCAAATTCTCCCCTCACCCAAATTACCCTACAATTCTCGATCCTTTATTATCCCAAGTCTTGAAGATTATAAACAAATCAACGAATTTGAATAATAAAACAACTCTAGTTAATAACCTCTCATTGAGAAAAAAAAAATTATATCCTTGAGAAGCATGAAACAAAGTGACCTTATCAAAGAATGGAAACGAACCCACAAAAATCATAACGAAGCGCTTTAGTCGTCTCCTCTGAGTAGATCGATGATGATGCTTAAATTCTTCGTTAATCTTCGAGACAGAACAAACCTTCCTATAGGCAAAGAATCAGACGAAGAATAAATAGAAGGCAAGGAATAGAGTAGAAAAAAGATGAAAGAAAGAGAGAGAGAAAAATCGCAGGAGTAAAACAAAATGGTAGGGGGGGTCCTACCTTTAAAATCATAGAATTCTAGGTCAGGAAGAAAGAATCGATATCGTTGTCTGATTCTCATTACTTCCTGATCGCCGTAATCTCCATCCTAATTGTTGTTTCTCTGTCGTCGCCGTGCATGGTCACTTGATCTCCCCACCATCTCCATGTGTAGATTGTTGAGAACGAAAATGGCAAAGAGAAAAAGAATGTATTCTCTCCCACCTTAAAGATTCAACATAGCTCTCAATATTGAAGATCACCGACTCTCTCTCTAGAATCTTCTCTCTCTCACTAACAAGCATGAGAATTTTCTCCATTCTTCTGGATAAGAAAGCAATACCAAAGATGGTGAAAATAAAAAAGAAATAGGAAGGATCTGGATAAATATATCCACCTCCATTCATCACCTATAAATATATGTGGGAGTTTTTGTGAAAGTGTGAAGAGAAGAAGAAGCTGTGGGGCGTGGAGGGAAGAGAAGAAAGAAAGAGAAAAGAGAGACGTGCATGTGTAATGAAAGGAGAGAAGAAAAGTCAAAAGTATGTTGTGTAAACTATTGCTTGAAGTAGTAATAAAAGTTTCTTTCCTCTAAGTCCTTCCTTCTATATCAAGCCTACACTAATTATTTGGAGATTCTCCCACTCAAATTTCAACATTCGATCTCTCCAACCTCACAGATTTGGCGAGGACAATCAACGATCTTCAGAACTGATAAGGAGAAGGACGCTTTACATCTCCTTTTCCCTGCTAATTGAACGTTATCATAAAGATAGAAAAAAGTGGCCGGCTTGGGTTATTTTGGACAATGTGCATTCAGAAATGGGTTTCATCGGGCGAAGGCTCGAAAGAAACAAACAAATGAGAAAAAGATGACCCTACATATTTATTTTTTAGCATAATTTTTTTAAAAAAATATATTTTATTTATTTTAGATAGCTGCATGGAGCCCAATGAGAGCTGGTACTGTTCACAAAGCTACGTCTTCCTAAATGGCTTTGTGAACTGTGTTTTTAGTGAGACGAGCTACTTTTATCTCCATGGGTTGGTTCACTTACTAACTAACGTCTATTGATTCTCGTGCTAATATATATAATTTAGTTGCTAATGCATATGGGTCGTTGCTTGACTAAACGCAGCTGTAGCGGCATTTCTTAAGAGGAACGCTGCCATGGCAATATCTCCGGTGGTGTTTTTTTACAAATATCTCAAAAGAAACGTTGCCGTCGCCGGGGTATAGTTTTTTTTTTTCTTTTGTAGTATGTAGTTATGAGTTCTAACTAAGTACTTGGGCTTCGATTCGATTCACTCAGCCCAACAAGGATTAATAGAAACATATTAACTACTTAACACAAGTCATAGACAAACTTAACAGATGCAACTATATCTCAACAGTAAGGCTTGTTAATTAGGAACTTCAGGTTAGTGTCCCTGTCTCCTTCAAAACTCTTGGCTGCGTTCATATATACATTTCAACGAGTCTTCGGTATTCTGGAATTCAAATTTGCCGTGCTTGGTCCGGGAATTCAAATTCTAGTGTTCTCCATGTTTCCTCCTTTGACAACTTAAAGACGATATAGTATTGGAAGCTCTTGTATTGAATCAAATAGATGCAAGTGTGAATGGTCATAGGCTCTTCCCAGACTTTAGTTTTTTGTGCTTTTGACTTTTGGAATGCTAATCTGATACAGTGATTGCAAATATAGAATCGCAAGCGGACATGTATAATAACTAAAACACAATTAGCTAGAAAATCATCGATAAAATGTACAGCGACTATTTATAAAAAAAAAGTAAAAATTACTAACTCAGTTGGCTATATATACCAGCAAAATATATGATATACAACCAAATTAATCAAAAAATTAAATATTGAAACCCAGCTATGGAACTTGCTAAGATTGGTTCGCCATTTTCCTCTACCCTACTCATGCCCAATATAACTCACTTTTAGCTTCAAACCCTAGATCCCTGATCCTCATTTCCCCCATTATCCGTCACTACACTTCAATCGCACCATGAGTTAATCATTTCATGTCTTTTTTATTTTGTTTTATAAAGCATTGTTGAATTCAATTGTTCCTGTAGCAGCACATGACTCCAAAATTCATTATTGTTTGAATTTGAAATCATCTCTCTTGAAATTTCCTCTCTGACGTGCTTTAAGGATATACAAGAATATATTATTGGAAGCATGTTTCATTTTATAATGACTGAAATGATAAATACCAATTTAGATGCAACACAACTCCGTATTTGATAATGAAGGGCTGGGGTATATATAGCGAGACTGGATTATTTTTAGTAGCTATGTTTTTATAAGCTTTATTAACGTACAGTAGTGATCGACGTGTTAATGACTGAGATGTGTAAAACAAGTCCATGCGTCAAATTTTGATTGGAGATTGAATCTCACACGAAGAAAAGATCATGGTATATATTATTCTTGTTTAATTAAAAGAAGCCGGTCAATCCTTATAAATAAAGCAGTCCAATCTGAATTTGTCATGGCATATCAAGGATAGATATTGGGGATCATACAGCTAGGCTTTATGTATTTCCATACACAAATAATAAAGAATCAGACATAGGAGGTAATTTAATAATTGGGTGGTCTATCCCTTGCGACTTGTGGGCAGAGTAGGGATGCTTTGTTCGTTTCTGAAGAAGTTGGAAGGATCAACCTGGGTCTTAATTCGAACCAACCTGTCGAAGTTATCCTTGAAATACTCCACCCCATAAACTCTGCCTTCTCGGTAGCTGTTCTTTCCATTGTGATTGATACCCAAGTCAAGATCCTTATAGTTGAAGAATGCTCCTCTAGGATTCATGGACACGAACGGTGTCATGTACCCGTGAAGTTTTCTCGTCAGCTCTATGTAGTGGTCCGCCACCTCTTTCCCCGCCTCATTCCAGTTCGCTTGATATTGCACCTGTTATGAGAAAAACATTACGTAATTGTGAGAGGAATTACATGTTTACATATATAGGCTTCAAAATTAATTCAAATGTATATATACACCTTCCATAGATTCCCAGCCCGATGAGGGAAAGGAGTTGCGGTGGCTGGAATCTCAGCCATTCGTCCGCCATAAGGATTGAAATATAGGATCGTGTCTTTCAATTCTATCATCTTCTTCCATATCCCTTCCAGCCCTTCTTTGGAAATAGGTCGCTGTACATAGTCAGACTTCCTTTTCAAGTAATTCAGCGACTGAGGCGTCCTGTCCAGTAAAATCTCAACCGGCTCTGTAATATTAATGTTTGTCCAGAAGAGCACCGATTTAATCCAGCTTGTTTCAATGCAGTCTGATTGCTTCAAACCCAATTCAGGAAAGCTCTCGTTCATGATAGAGAGGAGCCTTTTGGAGTCGCCAAGGAACATGGATATGAATCTGACCCTCACAGTCTTTGTCCCATTTTTAGTACCATTTACCACGTCAATAATAACTCTAATGAAGAGGTCATTATCAATGCTCGGAGCGATATGCTCCCAGTGGTACAATATATCTGTGGCATTCTGCTCCAGGGTCCTATCGACTTGGAAAACAGTGACCACCTCAGGGACTCGAACTAGCTTCAATTTGTACGATACCACGACTCCAAAGCTAGCTCCGCCGCCACCTCTGATGGCCCAAAATAGATCCTCACCCATGGATTTCCTGTCTAGCAATCTTCCATGAACGTCGACTATTTGTGCATCGATGACGTGATCCACCGAGAGACCATATTTTCTCATCATATTCCCATACCCGCCACCACTTATATGTCCTCCCACACCAACCGTGGGACAAACCCCGGCAGGGAAGCCATGGGTTTTACTCTTCCGAGCTATGCTATAGTAAACTTCACCGAGAATGGCTCCGGCTTCAACGGAAGCCGTCTCGGCGTCTATATCAACCTGGATGGATCGAAGGTTGAACATGTCGAGGATGAAGAAGGGGAGTTGAGCTCTGTAGGAGACACCCTCGTAATCGTGACCTCCGCTTCGGATTTTCATGAGCAGGTTGTGCTTTTGGGCACAAATAACGGCAGCCTGGACGTGGGAGACATGTAAGGCGGTGAGTATAAGGTATGGTTTTCGGGTGTAGGAGTTGTTGAAACGGAGGTTTCTGATGTAAGCTTGTAGTGTGGAAGAGAAAGAGGCATTGCTAGGGGTGAAAATGGCGGAGGTTATGGGGTGAGATGGCTGGGAATGGTTCACGAGGCAACGGATCAAAGTGTTATGAGAAGAAGAGGCCGAGATTTGTGAAGGGAGGGAAACGAGCACGAGAAGGAAAAGCAATGACAGTGGTAGTATTGTTGAACGACCCATTGTTGTTGGTATTGGGATCTATGCGGCCTTCTGCATTGGAATTTATAGGGATTTGTTGGCGGCCATATACAAATTATTAAAAGAATAAATGGCAGGATAATTTATAGAGATTTGTTGGCGGAGATATACAAGTTATTAAGCTACCTCCCAAATTGACCAACAATTTTCAAAACGACACATTGATAACGTAACACAATTATTCATTGACCTCCAAATATATTTTATATGTACATGATTGTCGGGTTTGTGTGAACACGTACGCCATCAGATTCTGGGGAGATCACTGTGATTTCCTGTGCAAAATGTTCTCCATATCCATACATATATCACGCCCCTCCTCTATCGCACACTCTTTTCTTTCTTCTTCTTTCCAAACTTTCCTTCATTAACATTTCATTATATAATTAATTTGGATTCCTGTGTTCATATCAAAATATACAAGTTTCAGATTTGGCATTAATGTTCACCATATATGTTTAGATTCATGCCCAAAACAAAAGACCGTAGATTCTTCGGACTGGTAGTTTAAATTAATTAATTGAAGTGTCCCCTTTTTCCTTTTTAATAAGATTATGAGAATAACACTAATCTTAAACTTGGGTGTGGGATTTACCTCAACTTTCATCCGCTCACTATTCTCTCTTTCTCGTCTATGGATCTCTAAAATAAAAGCAATGTTAAGTTTATGAAATATTGATGTTTAGTAATGATTATGTCATTAGTAGGAAAAAAATAAGAGTGTTTGCAAAAGAGAAATTGTAGCTATTTTCTAATTTTTGCCACTCCTCCACGGCGCCGCCCGCCGGCTTCGTTTTCGCAGCACAAAGTTTTTTAAATATAAAAATAAAATATACTTGGCTTTCAATTAAGAATATCCAGTTACAGTCTGACGCGCATTCATTATCACTGCGTCATATACCGTCAAATTAGGAGCTGCAATTAATATAATCATTATATTATGGTTGATTATATTGATAAGTTTAAGTTTCATCGCGCAAATATACTGAAATTAAAAATTAAGTAATATTTATATACATACGTTAGTTGTATTAAATAATAAAATATTATTCTTGGTTATTAGGTATGTTATACTGTACTCCTTTCATCTTCAAATATAGGAAAAACAATCATTGTCCCTATTTATTTTTATTTATAAACAAAATTATAAATTTCAAGAAATATTTCTTCAAATTGTCCTTATTTTAACTGAACGAATTTGTTTCATTAATTACATAGATTATTTAGTCCAAATTTTTTAGTTTCAAACATAATTAATTATATTTAATTAACTTTCTTAAACTATATGAATTGATTATTTTCTATACTCTCATTAGACCAAAATATAGAAAATAAGTAACTAATTTACTATTCTAAAAAAATGTTAGTTGCAACCTTAATTTCTTAAAACAATTTACATATTTTTAATTTTACCCTCATTAAATATCCTATGTTAGTTATTTGATAATAATAATTAAAATTTTAATGCATTATTTTTTAAAAAGAGTAATAAATGAAGCCAGAATATAGTTAAAAAAATAATTATAAAAATTATCAAACATTCTATATTTTAGAACAAGTAAGGCTTTTAAAAGAAACCTTGTATTAATATTTAAAACCGAAGGCGGTATTAGTTTATTAGCTGTAATTCTATGAGATACTAATTGTAATATTTCGTGGCCTATATAAGGTGAACTTGATAATTTTGTATTTGTCTCATATTATTATCAATAGAATTTTGTTTGTTCTGGGCTCACAACTGTGATACAACAAGAACAATAACAATTATTATCTCATTAGGTGGGCTCAATTACATGAGCTAGCTATGACGAAGTTATCAAAATAAATGATAGATTAACGTTCCATGTTATTATTATTATTATATATAATTCTCATTCTAATATATACTTTCTTTGTTTAAAAATATAAAATATTTTTAATCAAATTTTACTTTTCAATGAAATAGTTAATTGTCTATAAACTAACACTATCTTTCTATCTTTATTTTTATTTAATAAGGTGTTTCACTCTAAAATTTATACTCTCTCCATTTAAAAATATAAAGTATTTTTTAAAGAGTTGGATATTTAAAAACATAATGCATTTTTTACGGTGAGACACCCTATTAAATATGGATAAATATGAAAAGATAGGATTAATTTAACAATAAGTAACTATTTTATTGAGGAATAAGATTTAGTTAAAAATATCTTTTTTTGAACAAAGGGAGTATAAAGTAATTTATTTATTAATTAGGAGAACTTTTGAAAAAAAATACATTAATTACACCTTAAAACATTAAAAATGCATTACATTTTTTAACATTCATTCTTCAAAATATTCCTTACATTTTTTAATGTAGAGAATATAATTTAGTTGCTAATCACCATCAGGTAAGGGTGAAAATAAGCTAAGCTGAGTTAGGCTTTAGTCAAATAGGCCTGAACCTGTGTGGTAAATCAGAAACTTGAGTTTAACCTAAAGCCTATATAAGACTTTTTCACAGCTTAGGTCTGAATCTATCTAAAACATAGCTTAGCCTAAAAACCTATTTAAAAGCTTACTTAAGACTCCCATTTTAGTTTTAAACATCTTAAATATATTTTAAGACTATTATACTATGCAATATATTGCTTGATTATTAATTACAATATATAATAATTGAAAGAACTTACAAATTACAATGTAATATAACAATAAAGTAATAATATTAAGATTAATATATAAGTCTAATATGATAGAAAATATAAGAAGAAATAAAAAAATCAATTGATATATTTGTAATATATTACATTATAAATATACTCCCTCCGTTCAAAAATATAAGACATTTTTAACTGAATCTCATCCCCCAATAAAGTAGTTACCTACTTTTAAATTAACCCTATCTTTTCATATTTATACATTTTAAACATCTTATAATAAATATAAAGTCACTGTCAATAGGGACACTTTTAAAAAAAATAATAATTACACCTCAAAAGACTAAAAATGCTTTTCATTTTTAAACATTCAACGTCTCAAAAAATGCTTTACATTTTTGAACGAAGGGAGTATATATATATATAGGTTGGTCTGTTAGACTTGTAGGATAGGTCTTAAAAAAATAGACCTGACCTATTTAACTAAATAAGCTTAATTAAAATCCTGAACTTAACTTGAGCCTATTTATTAAGAAGGCTAGGCTAGGCCTGAAATAGGTCAGGCTATAGGCTCTTGTTATAGGCCTAGCCTATTCCACCCCTACCATCAGGCATCATTAAATGTGTGTGCACGCACACTTGCAAAACAAGGCATCCTATTTATTGGAAAGAATGACAGTTAGATCTTAGAATATTAAGTGCTTGTTTGGATTTTAGTTGGGTATAATAGATTATGAAAATAATTGATTAAGTGATAGATTTTAATCATAATTGATTATATTATAATGCAATCTGTTTGGATATTATTTTTTAAAATTAATTGTAACAGAATTAAAGATATTTAAATAATTTAATCAGAATTAACTTTAACTATATAAATTACTATATAATTTAATTCTTAAATACCAACTATTAATTTTTTGAGGATATAAAATTTAAATTTTATTAAGAAAAAAAGTTAAGAGAAGAGAGTTTGGTTTTATTTTTATTTAATAATGTGTCTTTTTTATAATTTTTTCTTGAGCTTTTTTTTGTAATTTTTTCCAACACTTTTGATCAATTTTTTTATTAAGGGAGCTTACAAAAAACGTGCGTCTTAGCCCATAATTAATTTTTAACTTTTTTTTTGACTGTTTGGGTAATTTAGCTTAAAAAATCAATTTTGGGATAAAAATTTGATTATTTCTCTTATCCAAACACACACTAAAATAATAATAATAGTTACACCTCTGATAAAAAATTTTAAAAATAAGTTGAAAATATTGATTCAAATAAAAAAATTAATTTAATACATAAATATTTAAATATCAAATATAACTTTTAAATTGTAATAAAAATCTTTATTTATAACCATTTAATTTGAATTAATATTCACAACTCAATTTTTAAAAAATTTTGTTAAAAATTTAACTGTCTTTAATTCAACAATTTTAGACTTAAATGTCATTCTCTCTGTTTATTAATATGATCGAATCAGAGTTTAAATAGTAAATGTTTTCGATTCGAATGCCTCACTCAAATAGGGAGGAAGGGGGGAGGACAGATGGCTGACATCATCGCTTCGATCAGCATATGTTTTTAATTAATCCGTCGTCTTTGATGAGTATTATGATTTATGAGAACATCGGAACAAGTGTGATTGCCAAGGAAACTATAACAACCGTCAAATTAAGCCAACGTTTGGACTTTGGAGTTCATGGTGGATACAAATCTAAACCCACCACTCATATTTCATTTTTATGGTTTCCGTATACTTTTGAATTTCTCTAAATTACTAACTTTTATGTCAAAATCCTTCACTCTTCTTACTTCTATTTTATATATATTAATCATCACGAGTTTTGTTAGATAAATATCATCAAATGGATATTGTTTGTACGTGTGTGTCTTCAACAAAATGATCGGCTAGTCAGAGTTTGATATTGACGGTTAAACTCTCGACTTTTAACCTTTTCTAAAACACAGAAAAGAATGATCAGAATTTGTTGTGCCAAAGTATGCAAAGTTTAAGCAAGAATCAAATTAATTTCCTCTTGGGTCGATGGATAGACTTCCATATATTCCAACTTTAAATCCCTAAAACCATTACCATAACACAGATTGAATCACCAAGCGCAGGTGCTTTGTACATGCTACATAGCCAGACTGATCTTTAAGCTGATAATTTAACTACTTCTGACCGAGTACTTGGTTTGGGTTTCGATTCGCTCTGCCCAGTAAGGATTAACAGAAACATATTAACTGCTGAACACAAGTCATTAACAAATTAACAGATGCAACTATATATATCTCAACAGTAAGGCTTATTAATTTGGACCTTCAAGTTAGCGTCTCTATCAAAAACTCTTGGCTGCGGCTATATATATATATATATATATATTTCAAGTTGGTATTATGTAATTCAAATTTGGAGTGCTTGATCAGCGAATTCAAATTCAAGTGTTCTCCATGTTTCTGTTGAAATATTTTCAAAATGAAGATATGTTTTTCTTGAAAAGTCACATCTTTTTTAAAAATCATGACCTTATGAATTAATGAGTTATGTTTTTATAAGTGAAGAAATTTTTATAAAATGTTATGTTGAGAATTATAGGCACCAAGGTCATGTGTCTTTAAATTCTAACTGTATCTTTGGAGGTTATAAAATTAAAAAATATCACTTGGTGAAAAGAAATATATTTTAAGACAACTCTACATAATAAAAGGATTTTTTTCCTTTCATGAAAAGTTATTATGAAATAACTCTTAGTTAATATTAATTATTAAACTATGTTATTTATGAATTAATATAGAGATGTTAATGAACCAACAAAAAGATAGCGACCTTTAAATAATTAAAGTTTTATTACTTAAAAGATATCAATTTAAGGTATCACTTTAGTATTTATAAATATTTCTCACCATCACAAAAGTTACGTCCTTATGAATTAATGAGTTATGTTCTTATAGATTGAGAAATTTTTGTGATAAGTTATGTTGAGAGTTATAGGTACCAAGGTCATATATCTTTAAATTCTAACAGTATTTTTGGAGGGTTAAAAAACTAAAAAATGTCATTTGGTAAAAAAAAGAATATATTTCAAAACAACTCTACGTATAAAATAAAAGGATTTAAACTATGTTGTTTATAAATTAACAAAAGAATGTTCATGAATCAACATAACATAATGTTATGAACCAATAAAAAGATTAAAACTTTCAAAGAGAGTTTTATTACTTAAAAGATATTAATTTAAGATATCATTTTAGTATTTATAAATATTCTTTATCATTACTTATTTTGGACATCCAACTTGAGTCTTAGCAGTGCTAACCATACTCAAAAGTCTTATTATATTCTGAAGAAAATTTGTCATCAACCCAATTTGTACCAGAAGATTAGAACAGGGTAGGGGCAAATTAAGCCTGAGAAAAAAGTGATGCTCACATTTAGAAGACGTCATGTACAACTTTTCTTTTCATATCTGTTTCTTTTATTTTTCGTAGAGCCATTCCGAGGCAACAGTTTCCGCCTCTGAAAACTTAAAAGGCGATATATTGGAACCTTGTACAGAGTCAGATAGATGATGCAAGCGTGAATATTCATAGCCTCTTCCCAGAGTTTATAGTTTTCGTGTATTTGACTTTTGGAATGCTAATCTCATAGTGTTTGCAAATATAGAGTCGTGGGCAATAATAACTAAAATACAATTAGAAGTGAATCCAAAGTCGTGGTCAAAATGAGAACAAGTAATCAAAGGAGGCGTCTGTATAAGCAGCAACAGCATATCATCCACTTCCCACACCAACCAAAATGTCATCGTCTTTGATTCAAAACGACACGTCCACCTTCAAATTTAGAGTACGGCACCATATTAAGTTAATCTTGTGTATATATCGTGGTTCTTATCTGAAGGTGTAAGTGCAATTGAATTGGAACACTGGAGAGTTTGCGTGTGTAAGTCATCGCCTATTGAAATTAATTTCTGTGCACACGTCTATGAAATCATCCATCTGCGTCATTGAACAATCATCTTCCATGGCTCCACCAACCCCTGTGTGAGTTGAATTATCTAACCAAGCTGCACCATTTCGTTTCTTTTGAGAATATTCTTCCATGCAACACTAATTCAGAAATCTGGTTCAATGATTATTCAAAATTTAAATAGGCATGTTGATAAAATGTAAACATTGCAAACTCAGTCGGCTATATGTACCAGCAAAATATATGATGCAACCAAATTAATCAAGAAAAATGTTGAAACGCAGCAGCAAAACTTGATAAAATTGGAGACTACTTCGCCTTAAGCTACTAGTTTTCTCATATCCTAACCAAATCCAAAATGAAGCCTCCAAGCTCGTACATTTCTGTTGCTTTTGTTGTCTTGATTTCGCTTTGCCTGGCACCGTTCTCCTTCTCCTCTCATGAAGACTTCCTTCAGTGTCTTTACCTTCATTCCCCGAACGCCACCTCATTCTCTAAGCTCGTCTTCGCCCGAACCAACTCTTCCTCTTACTCATCCGTCTTACACTTTTCCATTCACAATCTCAGATTCTCATCCAACACAACTCCCAGCCGCTCGTCATAGTCACGCCTCTCCACCCTTCTCATATTCAAGCTTCCATCTATTGTTCCCAGCGTCATGGATTTCAGATTCGAACCAGAAGTGGCGGTCACGACTACGAGGGCCTCTCCTACGTCTCCCACCACCTTCCCTTCATCCTCATCGATCTCATCAACCTCGACTCCGTCCAGGTGGACCCACACAGTGCTACCGCTTGGGTCCAATCTGGGGCTACCATTGGTCAGGTTTACTACCAAATTGCCCAGAAAACCACAACCCTGGCCTTCGCTGCTGGTGTGTGCACCATTATTGGTGTTGGTGGCCACTTTAGTGGAGGAGGTTATGGTTTCTTGATGCGTAAATACGGTCTTTCTGCTGATAATGTCATCGATGCCCAAATAATTGATGCCAAAGGAAGGCTTCTTGATAGAGTATCCATGGGTGAAGACCTGTTTTGGGCCATCAGAGGAGGTGGTGGAGCCAGCTTCGGAGTTATTATTGCGTGGAAGATAAGGTTAGTTTCTGTCCCACCGAACGTGATGGTTTTCAGGGTTCCTAGGACATTAGAACAAAATGCGACCAGGCTTGTCCACACCTGGCAGTCTGTCGGAAGCAAGCTTGAGAAGGACTTGTTCATCAGGGTCATGTTGCAAAGGGTGAATATGACCGGCAAGACAACTATGCAGGCCACATTCGAATCCATGTTTTTAGGAAGTGTAGAAAAGCTGCTTCCTTTGATGCAAGAGAAGTTCCCCGAACTGGGTTTGGTGAGGGAGGATTGTGTTGAGATGAGCTGGATCGAGTCAATCCTTTACTTTGCCAGTTTTTCAAGTGGCTCACCTCTTGAAGTTTTGCTAAACAGAACTGATCTAACTAACAGCCTGTTTTTCAAGGGGAAATCGGATTATGTGAGAGAACCCATACCAGAAAATGGGCTGGAAGGGATATGGACAACGTTTTATGAGAAAGAAGCAGAGTTTTCTATTATGATACTAAATCCATATGGAGGAAGAATGGATGAGATTCCAGAGAATGAAATTCCGTTCCCACACAGATATGGGAACTTGGACAAAATTCAACAGGAGGTATTTTGGCTGGAGGAAGGGAAGGAAGCAGAAGAAAGGCATATTAATTGGATAAGAAGATTATATGCTTACATGGCACCTTTTGTTTCCAACTCTCCGAGAGCTGCATATCTGAATTACAGAGATCTCGATATAGGGGTGAATAACAACGAAGGTCATACCAGCTACGAGCGAGCCAGCATTTGGGGTTCCAAGTATTTCAAGAACAACTTCAAGAGGCTGGCATACGTAAAGACAAAGGTTGATCCTCTCAACTTCTTCAGGAACGAGCAAAGCAAACCTTCTTTAATACGCAGCCCCCAGAGAAGAGGCAACTAGGCAGCAGCAGAGAATAAATCACATTCCATACTAGCTAGCTCCCACTGAACATTAATAATCCATAGACCAACGTATGTTTCTATTAGTTAGATGATTAGCTTTTCCATCTTTCTACCATTTTGATTTTTCTGTAATTGCACCGTGTGTGTCACTACCGTTTTGTCTCTGTTTTGCTTTTTTTTTTTTTTTTTAATAAGTACTTTGAGTTCCATAAAGTTGTTAATTACATTGCATTCGACCAAAATTGTTAGGTTCATGGAATTTTGCTTACTTACATGTTAGATTGGTTTCAATGCTCAACATATGGTGCTCATCATTTTTAATGAAATCTAAACTATTCAAATTTAATTTAGATGATTTATATTTAAAGCGTTTTTAATTTTTATGTTATACTTATTTCAAGCTAAATTGTTCAAATTTAATTTGGATAGTCCAAATTAAAAATTAATTTTTTTTAAAATTAACTATCCAAATTTACCCTTGAATGATTCAGATTTAAAAATTTTTAACTTGTAATTTTTTAAAAAATATTTTTTTAGAAAGTGCCAATTAGGATATTATCATTATTTTTAATATTGTATTTATCAAAATAAAAAATTTTAATATTAAATTCAAAATATATCTAGAAAGTTAATTTTATAAAAAAAACTAATATTAAGTTGGATCATCTAAATTAAATGTGTATTATCCAAATTGGTGATAAACAAATATATTAAAAATTTGATAATTTTGTAAATTTATATTTTAAAAAATATAAAATTAAAAAATTTAAATCTGAATTATCCAGATTAAATCTAAACCATCTACATCTTATTAAAAGTTATGAGAATCATTGTGCTCATCCCTATTTATCCCTAGGGAGCACCAAAACCAATCCCATCCATGGAGCTTTGAGTTGAAAAGGGCCTCAATTTTTTTTCTCCCTAGTGAATTCAATATTACCTCCTAAATCAAATTTGAACAAGTATAGGGTAATTCTTTTTCATGAGATTTGTTCTATTTATAAAGCTAAAACTTGAGATCTAGATTAAAGAATATTAATTAGCATACAAGAAAGGATTAATGAGAAATTTAAACCCTAAATTATAGGTTTATGAGCAATTTAAACTTTAAACTTTTAAAAAATACATTTTAAACTTGAAACAATTAAAGTTAGAATAATTTCACCCCACTATTAAGATAAATATCCATCAAATTAGGACCTAACATGTAATTTTCACCAAATAAAGATAGAAGGGAGAATAAAATTTGATTAAAATCACACACCATGTTCTAATTTAATAAGTATTTGTTGAAACTTAACGATAAATACAAAATTGCTCAAATTTTAATTGTTTCAAATTCAAAATTCACTTTTTCAAAGTTTAGAAATTAAATCACTATTAGACTTAAAATTTAAAGTTTAAATTGTATATTAACTCTATTAAAAAAAAGATGAGGAGACCAAGCAAAATTTGTTTGCCATGATCATCATTCAAGAATCTTTCTTTGAAATCCTATATTATTCCGATGAAGCCTTCTTTCAATTTCACAAATGGAGGATTTTGTGAATTATCAAATGTTCTATTAACACAAGGCGAGTATGGCCCTTGAATTTCAAAACAGAGATTTAACATTAAAATATGATTAGACACATTATTGGTACAGAAAACAAAAGGGGTTTTTTTTTTTAATGTTAATGAACAAAAAGGATTCATAGACCAATGAAAGAACACTCCGCTGCTTTTCTATCTTCGAATCACACGCCTCAACGGGATCAGTTACAAAAATCCTTCATAGAATTCTCAGGACGAGTTCTTATTAGTCTTGTAACGGTAGAGAATCCTCTTCTTCTTGTTGGATGAGTTCTCTATAGTGAGGACAATCTTCCCAGGTTCGTTATTCGTGAAAGTGTTTCTGACAGGCCTTTCTTGGGAGCCCATCGTCATCCCTTTCTAAACTATGACAGTATAAGAGCCCTCATCAGTGGGAATAAATTCCTCCTTGTAATTCATCTCCCAACCCAACACCGTCAAATCCCAAAGCAACGTGTTTCCGACCTGGCGATCAATCACAATCAGCAAGTGATATTATTATCTAATTGTTCCTGTTTCTAAATGTACTTTAAAAGAAGGTGTACACTAGTTCTCATGGAACTACCTTCGATGCAGGAATCTCAATGGTTGCTGTTGATCCAGCCTTAAGAGTAATTTCTAAAACAGGTCAGAGAACTCAAAGTCATTTTTCCTCCTGAAACCACCGTAATTAACAGGGATCTCCTCAATTGGAATGTACCTCGTTCCTGAAATCAAGATAGAATCATTTCCAAGTTCATGATGGAATAGCGGTGGGAAATCTCAACTTCAATTTTGTCGTCCGAAGATCTTTTAAAAATCTAAAGTATAATTACGATACTTGAAAGCCCAATTTTATTCGAATTTCACCATTTCAAATGAACTAAACTTTTCTTGAAACTGAAAGGAAATTGGGGTTGGAAGTAATAAAGTGATGCCAAAAAATCTATAGAGGAGGCAGCAGATATATGTTGTAGCACACCGGATGGCCATCACGATCCATGTCGTTCCTGTAGGCAGCAGAACCCAGATTAGAGCCAAAATCCTCGTCCAAAATGGAATCGATGTTGGATTCCTTCCTCCATCGAAGCGTCTTGGAGAGCATGTCGAATGCGTCATTGACTCTGAATTCCCTGGCCCTCAATAACTTGAGGAGAACAACGTCAACGCCCTTTGCTCCTAGGCTAGGCAAGAGAGGTACTCCCCATAGAGAAATGGCCTTACATCCTTGTTCGACTTTGTCAGGGTTATCCGCGTCTTGCTTGAGAGAAGCATCTTTTTCATACACGGAGAACAGAGTGTTTGCTGAAATGGCGTCTTGGAGCTTGGATTTTAGTTGATTCAAGGCCCTCTTCTCAAAGTCATTTAGATCAGAAGGGAAGTTGCTTTCTTCCTTGTAAGAAGAGCTCTTGAGTACCATTTGCGGTTTAGAATCGGTCGGTGGCGATGCCTGATGCTCGAGAAACGCCTCAGCTGGGTGGGATTGTTCTTGAATCATGGTTGGGAGAGGAGATGGAGGGTGAATGTAGAGTAAGCAATTCGGGCGGGCCGGCTTATTCAGGTTAGTCGAATAGGCCCGAACCCGAATAGGCCCGTGTCCTCGAAAAGCCTGAATAGTTAAGCCCGACTCGAATTCCTTCGGGCTTCGGGCGGCCCAGATACCCGAATTTAATTTTTAAAATTATTTTTAATTATTTTTTATTTTGAAATTAATTATTTTATTTTATAAAAAATATAAAATATTTTTTTTTAATACTTAAATAATGTCTAAGACTCAAATATATATTATTTTAATATGAAATGATCTAAAATTTAAAGAATTAATTAATATTTATTATATTTTATATATTTTTTAAAAATATAATTTTTTATTCGGATATTCGGGCCAAGTTCGAACCCGATCGGGCTTGGCCCAAATTTTTTCGGGCCTATTCGGGCCAGCCCGAATATAAAAAACCATCCTTGTTTTTAAGTCCGGTATTAAAATTTTTCGAGTCAATTCAGGTTAGCCTGTTGAGTTTAGTCCAAATTATCGGCTCTAAGTGAAAGCAAAAAAGGAAGAAAAGGGAGCCAAGCATGAGTGTTGTGTAGCCGTGCTGGGAAGGTATATCATAAAAAGCTTTTTTGAAATAAAGGAGGAGCAATGGTCAAATGGCGGGATCCAGCCATTGTGACTAGGGTATCCCAAGTGAAATGCCACTCCAGAAACAACCTTTTATAATTTATACAAGTCCCTTCCACTTTTCTCCCTCCCTCTCGACTCTCACATGCTGCAAGTATCATAAGTTAGACCTTGGAAGCTCATAGTACAGTGTAGTTTATAAATAAGACGACACCTAATTAACTAATTTTTTGAAATGAATTTTTTTTTAACCTTATACTCATAATATTAGAGCTTTTATGAATAGTTTTGTATCATAAAAAGAGCTATTCATATAAAGTTTTTAAAGAGATGACATTGCAAGAGTCACACATTAATAAGTCTTATAAATATAGCATGATTTATAAAGATATATTTGGTTGAGAGAAAGAGAGGAGGGAAAATTTCCCTCCCTTTATTTGGATGGAAAATGGAGGGGAAGGGCTCCCCTCTCTTTGTTGGGGAATATTATGGCAGAGGGGATTTGAAGTGATTCCTCCTTCTCCCTCCCCTCCTAAGATCCATCTCATTTCCTCATCTCTAAAGCTGCTCACGCACCCAATTCGTATCCAATTTTTAATTAAATCTGATTTATAATATAACACATTTTTATCCCAAAAAAAATAGTAATAAATGCCTTTTCTTATAAAATATTCTTAAATGGATTGTATAAAAAAGAAATTAAAAATAATTAAGATGTGTTAATTTTAATTGGAAACTCATTGTAAAAATAGTTATAAATTTTATTTTCTTCATTCTGAAAAAGTTAATTAAAAATATCTTATATTTTAATTTAAACCAAAGGAGCATTACCTTTACACTTCTCCGTGGGCTATAAAACTTTGGACTTGGAATGTTTTCACTTCCCAACTCTCCGTTTCTTCTCCATTTCTCTAAAATAGCAACATTTTGACCGTAAAAAAAATTTTAAAAAAAAATTGAAAGCAACTAAGCACCCTCACTCAGACCTGACTTCTCTCCTCCAACCATTTCCTACACACTGTTTAAAATATTTTAAACATATCATCCATAAAATATTTATTTTTTTATTTATTAAAATTATAAAAAATTAATAATATGTTTCATTACTAATTTAGACTGTTCAAATTTAATATGAATGGCCTAATTTAATATTAATTTTTTATAAATTTTAGAAATTAGTTATTCAAATATATTTTGAACAGTATAAATTTAATATTAAAATTATAAAAAATTTAAATATTAAATTTGGACTATCGATGTGAAATCAAAATTGTCCAAATATTTTAAACAGCGTGCAGGAAATAGTTAGATGAGAGAAGTCAGGTCTTGGGTGAGCGTGCTCAGTTGCTTTCAATTTTTGTTTTAATTTTTTTACAGTCAAAATGATGCTGCTTTAAAGAAATGGTGGAGAAATGGAGAGTTGGAAAGTGGAGACACTCCATAAAACTTCCTGGCCGGAAGCATACGGGGCCAATCAGAAAAGCATGGATGAGTGCAATTCCAAATTCCAATGGATTATTTGATTGCAAGAGCAAGATTC